TGTAATGTATGTAATGTATGTAATTTATGTAATGTATGTAATGTATGTAATGTATGTAATGTATGTAATGTATGTAATGTATGTAATGTATGTAATGTATGTAATGTATGTAATGTATGTAATGTATGTAATGTATGTACTGTATGCATGTATGTACTGTATGTATGTATGTATGTATTGTATGTAATGTATGTAATGTATGTAATGTATGTAATGTATGTAATGTATGTAATGTATGTAATGTATGTAATGTATGCAATGTATGTAATGTATGTAATGTATGTAAAGTATGTAATGTATGTAATGTATGTAATGTATGTAATGTATGTAATGTATGTAATGTATGTAATGTATGTAATGAATGTAATGTATGTAATGTATGTAATGTATGTAATGTATGTAATGTATGTAATGTATGTAATGTATGTAATGTATGTAATGTATGTAATGTATGTAATGTATGTAATGTATTGTATTGTATTGTATTGTATGTAATGTATGTAATGTATGTAATGTATGTAATGTATGTAATGTATGTAATGTATGTAATGTATGTAATGTATGTAATGTATGTAATGTATGTAATGTATGTATGTATGTATGTAATGTATGTAATGTATGTATGTATGTATGTATGTATGTATGTATGTATGTATGTATACCGTATATATATATACACATGTATACTGTATATATATATGTATACTGTATATATATACATACTAGTATATGTATATATATATATATATGATATTGGTATGTACATATTTATATACATGTTTCATGATCATATTTGTAAAAAAAAAACGGCCAATATATTTGCAGATGCATACATGCACATGTATTTCTTGTCATGCAGGCAAGAAAAGTAAACTATACAGTCGCTTTTTGGTTGATCCCTGGTGTGTTTTTAAATTGTTCTTTTAATGTATGTACACAAAATATTATTTGATTCCAACATAGGGACACATTTGACAATATCATTGATGGATCACATGGGAACCTCTGGTGATGACTGACAACGGGGGTTGTGGCTGGAGCAGTTTGTTCACCAGCCCTTGGCTGCAGCATTTTGGGAATGGCGGTTCATCCATCAACACGGCGCCAACGTGTTTGAGTTGCATATATGTTGATCTGACAATTAGAAATGCAAGTTGCACTATTTTGCACTGTATTTATCTATGTTCCTTGGATTCGATGTATTTCGATGTGTTCGATTGTTTCCATGATCTTTCGATACAACATGATACAACCACAATAGATGTCCTTGCCGAGGTTGGCTCAGAGACAGATCGAAGGAGAGAAGCCGCCAGAGCCCCAGCCATTGTTCCTTGGAGGCTTCCTATGGAAGTGACTCCAACTCTGAAGTTGTCAATGAACCGGCCATCTACTCCATTTTTGAACGATATTCAAAAGAAATGTAACCATAAGTCTAAGACGTTCTAAGACATGTTTTCCGGTGTGTAATGGTGTGTACAAAAATGCACAAGAAATACCACTCTATAACAGTCACATGCAGTCACAATCTATCATTTTCTGTATGGCATTCAAGCTTGTTCTTCTGGGTTGTCTCTAGATTGGGAACGATCGGGGCCCAAACTCAGATTTGATTTGTGAATTTCCGCCCAGTTGCCCAGAGATCACGGGAACCCTTCAGTTGAGCCATCTTGCAGGCCAGCAGGTGTTCACTATCTCATTGTTGCTTCCAGAGGCTGTTGCTACACGGACGTCTCATGGGTTCGGTGATGGTTAACAAATTCAGGCTCAAAGTTGTTTGACAACCATAGACTGTGGAACTTTTGCATAGTATGGACCAAACATATTAGGTTTCATTCCTTTCTTGCTTGGGGTGTTTGGTCATTTTTGTATCATGTTTGTATTGGTTTAATTGCAAATTGTTTTTCCCCTTTTTTGCAACTCTTCCCGGTGTTCATTTGCATGCAAGGGCAGCCATATGGTTGGCTTTAGTAAGTTCCGAACGACATTTGGTGGAGAAGTAATCCTGTTTAGTACAAG